CGCCCGCTGCCAGACAGTCCAGTTTCTCCCCGCATGAGTCCTGGGTCCCCAGAGACTTCCCGGGACCGGAGTTCTCCCGGGAATTCAGAAACGTCGGGAGCTTGTGACTCCCTCCGGATTCAAAAAGACAGCCGCGTCCCCAGGTGCCAGCCCCTTTCCGCGCGCGCGAACCCCCTACCTCTGCGCTTCTCTTCTGCAGCTTCTCTTGCTCTCAGTGTGCTTTTCTTTCCTTCTAGTTGTAGAATTTACAGTCAGCCAGGCTTCCTGTGGTTCTGGATGATGTCCGTATTGTTTTTCTGAGGTATTAATCAATTGTTGTGAGCGGCATCAACTTCCCGGTGTTTATCTCTGCCGCCATCTTAGTTTCACCCCTGGGTCTGCTTCTTAAGTGTGTCTCCCATGGGTAAGTCTGCAATTTGTTGGGTTAGGCTGCAAAAGCGCAGGTGGGTCTTTTTGTGCACCTGGCACAGCTTGGATGGGGATGTAAATTGAGTAGGGCGGGGTCTCAGGGAGTCGCCAGGGCGGAGCAAATAGCAATGGCGGCTTCTCCGCGGCTCCTCGCCTCCCCGGGACACCGGGACTTCACGTACCCCAGTGCCCAGTGCCGGCGAGCAGCTGCACACCAGAGCCTCCCTCGCTTTCCGACCACTGCAAGGCTGTGCTGCCTCTCTCCGTGGGGTCTCGGGCCTCAGAGACCCGCCCCAAGCAATCTGATTGAAAAAAAACTGCGCATCCAGTTGCACCCAGCCTGGCACGCGACTGTGTACCTCTGTTTTTGGCGCCTCTGTAGCTCCTACTCAGTCTCACTGCGCTTCTTTCTTTCCTTCCAGTTGTAGAACTCCCACTGGGCCAACTTCCCCATGGTTCTGAATGGTGGTTGTTTGTCTTATAGTTGGTGGTTTCAATGATGTTGTGGGAGGCAGCATGCACAGGTCTACTCCCTATGCCGCCATTTGGTTCTTGAATTGTAAACTTTAAATGGGTGAATTATATGGTACATGAATTACATCTAAATAATTCACTACAATTTTTTTCATTAAGGAAAAATCATAACATGGCAAAGTAAACATAGCCCTTTGAGCACCTCACTTTAACAGGAGGCAAAGGGAAATTATTTAAAGGCTCATGCTCACAATCCAAAGAATGAGACAAGACTACAGCAACTGCATTTCAGCAGCTACAGAGCAGAGAGCTCAGTGAGTTCTCTGCTACCTTCACTCAGCTAAGCCAACAGTAGGAGGCAAGCCTAGAAAAGCAAGACAATTTCCACCAAGGGATCCCAGAGATACTCAGACTCAGCCTCCACATAAATAAAATGGGAATAATTTCTCTATTTCCCACCAGATTACGGTGGAACAAAATAGGAATTGCATGTGAAAGTGTTTCCCAACTTGTGGAGTGTTATAATACATGACAAAGGGACCTTATCATTACCTTGCCACGTCATCACTCCAAGGAACCGATCAGCTAATTGCTGAGGAAAATGCCAATGCTCAGGAAGGCATAGTGTTCCATCGGATCTTTCAGAACACAATTTCTCCAGGTTAGTGATCAGGACATTCAGGCAGATGTCGACCAATGAATAGGGAGATGCCTCCTCCTAGCAAACAAACCCCCAAACAAATTTTGTTAGAATACACATACAAAACTCAACATAAAAGTGGTCTGCCTGCCTACTTGATGAGTAGATCTAGAAGTACACTCTCTTTACTGTAATAATAATTTATAAGTAATAAAACTATCTTATTCCAACTGTTAGCTGAATAGAAGATGTCATCTGTTATAGCTTCTGTTATATCTTGAAAAATAAGTTACTTCACTCTGGCCAGTTGCTTAGTTGATTAGAGCATTGTCCCAATATCCCAAAATTGTGGGTTCAATCCCCAACAGGGCACATATACAAGACTTAACCAATGAAGGCATAAATAAGTGAAATTACAAATTTATGTTCCTCTCTCTCTCTCTCTCTCTCTCTCACCTTTCCCCCCTCTCTCTCTAAAGTCAATTTTTTAAGCGAACTAAGAATAGAAGAAAACTTCTTTGACAAAGAGCATCTATGGAAAAACCTACAGTAAGTATCATGGTTAAAGGTGAAAAGATCTAAAACAATACAAAGATGTCGACCCTCACCACTTCTCTAACACTCTACAAAAGGACCTAGAGAAAATGGATATAAAAAAGGATATAAAAAGCACAGACTGAAAGGGAACACAAATTTAAGAAAATCTTAAGAAATCTTACAAAAACACAACTAGAAAAAGTGACTTTAGCAAAGTTGTAGGATATAAGATCAATATAAAAAGTTTGTAAAACTTTTTAAGGTTTGTTTTATTGATATTAGAGAGAAAGGAAGGGAGAGAGATAGAAACATTGATGAGTGAGAAACATCAGCTGCCTCTTGCAGGCCCCCTACTGAGGATCCAGCCCACAACCTGGGCATGTGCCCTGACAGGAAATTGAACCTGTAGTGTATGGGATGATGCTCAACCAACTGAGCCATACCAGCCAGGGCTAAAGTTTTATAAACTTTTAAAAAAATATTTACAGGTAGAATAAAATATGTAATGAAAAGACCTTTACACCAAAACTACAAAACATTGTTAAATAAAATTAAAGGTGACATAAATAAATGAAGAAATATATATATCACAGGTGAAATCGTATTCATGCATGATGTAAATTTAAAAATTAGTTAAATATAAAATCTTACAGTGAAAACGGGCATACATGGAACCTGACAGAGAAAATGGATTGATCTGATCTCTTTTCCAAAGAAATCCTTGTACTTCTATTCCGACTGGCAGCAACAACAGAAAATGTGCTTGTGACACTGTTCCAGTGCTTACTTAAAAACCCAGTTTCTCAGCTACAAAACAAACTTACAAATTATGTACCAGCTTTTAAAAGTAAGTCCAAAAGAGTACTACAATACAGGCAAGATCTTTGCAGGGCACAAAAGCCCTCCAACAAGGTGCTAGTAGGTAGCAGTAAAGTACAACATCAATCAAAATATTTTCTTCAGGCCCTAGCTGGTTTGGCTCAGTGGGTAGAGCACCAGCCTGCAGACTGAAAGGTCCCGAGTTCTAGTCTGGTCAAGGGTTGCACGTGCCTGGGTTGCCAGCCCAATCCCCAGTAGGAGGCAGCCGATCAATGATTCTCATCATCGACGTTTCTATCTCCCTTTCCCTTCCTCTCTGAAATCAATAAAAATATACTTTAAAAAATATTTCCTTCTTTCTGTACCAATTTTGGGTTGCGCCTACGCTGGACTTTGAGTTCTCAGAGGGTGGTCCCTGGGCTGTCTGTTGTGGAATGCGGAGTCTGATCGAACACCTGATTCGCCTTCAAGTTCAAAGGCGAATCAACTTTCAGGATTCTCAATTCCGCTACCCACCAGTAAACATGGAGACTGCAATGCTTACCGCCCCCCACATCCCCCCAAAGAAAGCACAATCGGATTTATTTTAAAAATGCTATACGATTTAACGCACCAGCAGGCGCCCAATAATCTGGATTTGCAGTTTGCTCAGAGTTGCGTCTAAAAGGCACTCCATCCATGTTTATAAAACACGTGGAAGTGAAGGAATTCCAGTCTTTGGGTTTCCAGTTCCCCAGCAAGGCTCAGGAAGGTCAAGGACTCGGGGAGTAGGGACCGCGAGGTCACGGACTCCGGGGATACTGCTTCCAGGGCGCACGCGGGGAAGCCGTCGAGGTTTGGGACATGTGGGTTCGTTCATGGCGACAATAAGCACCCCCGCGGCCAGGCCCAGCGCTGCGCCCAGCATCACGTCCGGCCTTCACCACTCGGGAAAACAGCCGCCACCGCAAAGGCGAGTCCGAGGCCAGAGGAGGGGACCCGCCCAAGGTCAGGCGGGGGCGGGGCTGGCTCTGGCGGCAACTGCTCAGCTGCGCAAGGTCGCCGCGCTCCGCCCGAGGCCGGGACGCGGCGG